GGGGCTGGAGATCGGCGGGGGGGCCCTGCGTCCCAGTACCCGGGGCGCCCCCTTCCTGCTGCTGGCAGGGCAAGCTTGTCCGGTCCGGTTCGGTCCAGGCTGGGCAGGCAGGGTCCCTGGGAGCGGGCACAGGCGGCGCCCCCCTCTTTGCTTCTCCTTGCAGCGGAGTGGCACTTAGGCAGATTCAGGTGCTGCAGTGGGGTCCTGTCCCAGGCAGGCAGAGAGAGCGAGCAGAGACCCACAGAGAGCAGATCCTACTCTCTTTTTTATGGATCAGAGACCATTGTTCCAGAAAGCACCACGGTCTGAATTAGCCAATCACCATTGGCCAGGTACATATTCTGTTAGAGGCAGTTTTTAACCTATTGTCTATTTCTCTGCTACCTATTATGACCCTTGTGCTGCTTCTTTGCTCTGCACTTATCTGGTAGGGCAAGAGGCCTGCTCATTCTGTCCTTGAGTGAATCAGTGAAAAGGCATCACTCCTGTCTTGCTGACTTGAAAGGCATTTGTTGTTTAGTCTTCTGTAGAGGGGAAAAAGAGGGACTGTTCCCCACAGAAGCAATAACTAAAAAGTACAAAAAGGAGATACAGCTGCCCCTAAAAATAAAGCTGTTGTCCAAGCTGGTAAGGCACAGACAGAGGCTGGCATGGAACTTCATGGCACGAAGTCACAGTCATGTGTGTCCCACATCAGCTAGGCTTATCCAAGCTATAGCTCATACAGTCTGACCTTTGGGAGCCAGAAAACTAAATCCAGCACTACAGTAACATTAATTTGTAACAGCAGACAGGGTTTATCAACCACCAAATACAAAAACTTCTACCAGCTGTTAAGGACTTACCGTACTTCCATGTATTCCTGACCTGTAACACTCGAGATCTCTATTGAGTAACAATTATTCACTGAGCAACCTCAGTTTTTATTTACTGTGCACAGCTAATGTGGTTGGGATTGGCTGCAGCAACTCCTTCCCAGCAATCCCACAAAGCTTTGTAGAAATACTTGGCCACAATTTCATACTCTACTGACCAAAATCAGATACACTCACATCCCTCCATTCCCTGTCCAAGTCCTTCCACCCTCACTCCTCCCCTGCCTTACCTGAAGTACCACTGTTGCCCATTCCACTTCCTTATTTTAGGGATTAGTACTTTTGTCTCTACTAGTATTAATCAAAGTACTTCTCATCCACATTTGATGATGTCAGTTCAAACACAGCTGTTTGTGTTTCCTGTCCCTTCAAATGGGTTATTCAGATCCATCTAACTGAAAACCTCAGACATCTGCCTGAATCCCATCCTGTTCCACCCTCTCTCTTCCTCACTTATTTTCCAGACTTACTTTCCAGTAGAATATACAGGTACCACTCATGACAGAACTAAAGTACCCACTTAAAGCTTTTTTTTTTTTTCTGATAATTGTAGAGAAACTCTACTTACCTTCCTTCCACCTCCATATCCAATGAGCAGACAGCCCACCTACCTCTTTCTCACTACTCCACACAGGACACACCTTCTCCTCTGTCTACAAATATTCATGGGCCTCTGTGACACCACCACTCAGGATGTCTCAAGCTCCAAAGGGACAGTATGTAGTGTTACAGAAACATGGGAATGTACCTACAGCCCCCCACAATGCAGTCTACACCCGTGTGCTTGGTGCCACATCTGCATCATCCCCATAACCACACGTAATCTGGGTAGACAAGTTTTCAAACACAAAAGGCTTGTGCTATCTGCAAGAGTTAGGTAGGGTAACCACTGCTCTGCACATTCTTGGGAAAGACAGAGGGCTGAAACATGAGGAAATCTGTTTTCAAGCCATCCTAATGCAAAACTGTGAAATGGGAGAAAGGTAAGCAATGTGCAGGGGATGGCACTAATGACATCAGCCTTTCCCAGTCATCCCTCACTGCCCTTTACATGAAAATAGGCCCCAAACCATAAAGACCTGCCCCATGACTAGCTCACAGTCAACCACTACTTGCAATACAGCTGCCAGACTCTGGGAACGCAGCTGAGGGCACACACCATCTGTCTGACAACCAACAAAAACAATCTAAGAACACTTTCAGCTGTTCAAACTCAGCTAAGCATGACAATGCAAAGTGAAGCTGCCAGGGTAAAGATGGAACAGGCAGCTTGCCATAAAGCTGCTTTTTTATTTCTTCTTGCTTAGAAAAAGAAAACCAAACCCCTAACTCCCTTATGTTTTCAAAACCTGATTTGGACTGAGGATTCCTTTTCAGACAAAATTTGGCAATGAAGGTCACTTTTTTTGCACCTTTGAAGAACCAGTTTTTAAATTATTTACCACCCAGCAAAAAATTGACACTGATCTGAAGTGTTACATTTTATCTAAATTTTCTCTGTCTTCATGCAGCTCAGCAGTATGTTCCTTCCTCTTAACCTTCCATTTACATTTTCTCAGAAATCTGTGCAATTTGTGCATTTTAAGAAAATGTCTGGAAGTATACAAAGATTTTTGAAGAAGCCAGTATTTTGGAAGTTTAGCCAAAAATCCAAGCCTCCCAAGAGATGTGAAGAACAGGTATGGTACATGATAGAATATCTGGATGCCCTAACACACTCTGGAAGTCTAAATCCTAGTAAAACCTCTAAAACTATCTGAGGCAATAATGGGTTTCAAGGGAGAGAACAGTTTTAGAAGAGCTATTTTGTGAAATCTGTAATGGATTAAACTTTCTGGATTGTCTCTAGTACTGCACACTGAAACCTACCCATTTAAAATTCCAAAATAGTTGCAATTACAAGGCAAGGCTGCTTGAAAAACTCTGCATGCAGTAGGTTTAGATTCCAGAAGAGGACACGCTTCACAAACTGCCTTTAAAGCAACAGAAGATACTTGAGAAGCAGCCATGACTTGTCCACTAGGCTGTAGGAATAAAAAAAAGGAAAACACAGCAATAATTTTCAAACCTATTCTATTAATCTGCTTTTTAAACAGTAGCTGTAAAAGCATCCCCAAAACCTGTTTTTATATTGCTCCACTGCAATTCTCGAACACCATTATATTCCTATTTTAAGAACAGACAACTGATTCATGTTTCTCTAAGCATTCCAATGCTTAATAACTACTGATGATTTTGAGCAGTGACTACACGTACAGTAGGTGATCACAAAACCAGGGATGGTAAGAACATTTAATTTTATACTTTGAAAATTTAAACTCAAAAGTCACACTGCAGCTTACTGCATTAGTAAAGAACAAGCATTACCATACACAACCTTTTCCTGTTTTGAATATAAAACATGGAAGATTATTTGAAATCGGCATCTCCTTGTGACTGTACATGGGGAGGAGCACCAGAACCAACATGTCCACAGCATCTGAACAGAGCTGCTGTTGGGGCAGGCAGAGCGTGAGCGTGGTTTGATTCACCTGGGAGGGGCTGTGGAGCACAGCAATAGAGCAAATGTCACCTCAAGCCTTCATTACATGCTAACTTTTAGGAGGTTAATAATGACAAGTTACCTTAACCAAAGATATTTTTACTGGAATCAATCTTCAAGCATCATTAGGTTAAGGTTTTTTAGAAAGAGTAAACTGAATTAAAAAAAAAAACCCAACCATATGAATGGAAATTGGTACCTGACATTGAATTTTATTTGAAATTTTATCAGGCTCGTGAAAACATGCCAAAAGCCAAATTGTGTCTAAAATCATTGAACAAGTTATGAACAAAATACTCCATTTCCAAAAATAGCAAATATAGGTTTAATGCTAGTCATCCAAAATTGACATTAGTCTCTTAATATAAGGCAAAAATAGTCATTTTCTTTTATTTTTTAACCTACATTAAGTACAATCAGGAATAGTTGCCATATAGAATATGCATCATTGAGATCTTTTAAAAGCAAGATCAGCAGAGTGCTGACTCATGTGTTATAAGATCTTCTCAACATACTGACAGTTCCATAGCAATCTCTGAAAACATGTCTGGGTTAAGGACTGGATTAATGCTGCAGAGGAGTTTTGTTAAGTATGTGTATAATTTGTCATGCGCCACAATCACATTTCCCTGTTATAGCCATGTAGCACAAATAACATTTATTGCAGATCTAAGGGTGTGTCAATATACATTAAACCATAGAAAATGCCATAAAATACTCTATGCAATCTTTAAGCATCCGTCTTCAGTATAATCGTATTTACATATTTTGATGAACTTGTAATATGTAATGAGCCACTGAAGACATTTTTACAATATTTATTAGATGATGAATTTATAAAGTCAAGGACTCAGAGGCACATAGTGTAAAAGGCCAAGAACACTGAAACTAATGAAGTCACAGAAATCAGAATATTTATGGACATAACACCAGTAAAAAATAAAAATCACATCCAAACTAAAAGCAACAATTCTTAAGAGTCATCCTTCAAAGTTAGCATAATAAAAAGTTCTCATTTCCCTCAAAGAAAAATAATTCATCCCACCTAATAAGCTAGAAAAACTTATTTACAGTTGGACCTTGATCAGAAGTATCATTAAGTTGTGTAGTACAGCCATGTCTATTCTGCCATTAGAATCTGACATTTATTTTAAAGTATAGTTGTATTTACAAACGCATAAATATCATAACTCTGATCTTCATTAAGATCTGAATGAAAACAGGTTGTTAAGTCACAATACAAACGTGTTAGTGGAAGAAGTGTTTGGGGCAGCTGCATATTCAGTATCATTCTCAAAGAACAGGAAGCCAATACTTCTGATAAAGCTCAAGTTCATCAACTAGACCAGGTCTTTAAGTTACGTTAGAGAAGTTTAACTGCCTTCTGTGTTAATTCTTTACAATGGTTTCTTCAGTCAACTTTCACCACGCTGTATATTTTGGTTACAAACCAAAAGCATGCAAAGAATCCAATTGTCCCTAAAAAAGGAAGAAAAAAACCCAGAGATGTTACGTGTTAGGAAAACTGACAGATTTCTATCTGTAGTTCATAAATTCAGACATCATTATATGCAATCTTCTATCTTTAGTCTTCATTACATCCATCAGATCAGATAATGAGAAGTTACAGACAATACCCAGTCTTTCCAGGTATCAGCTACTATGTGAAGTATTTCATTACTTTCACAATCATAGCGCTGATTCACATGGAAGACTCATTTAAAGATGTTTCTGGGTGATTTCTCTTCCTACATATTTGGCCTTTGTTGTTTCATTATTCACCAGTCCAACTCCTTCATAATGTTCCATTTTCACCCTTCTTTGGTGGCTAGTCACATATGCTTTACTTCATCTGCTCAGATGGTCAGAATATTGTTATTATATTTAATAAACCAATGAGATAGACAGCATCTAAAGAAGTTCCCATTTCTTTGTTAATACTTCAAGGTCCTGGAAAAATTAGACTACTACCTTTTTTCCTATGTAAATCAAGTTAATACAAATTTGAAACCACAGCGTAGTTGCTATGCAACTTGTACTTACTACTGAAATATGTTACAAACCTTAAAAATAAATGCTTCTGAAGTACTTAAAGCAGTCAAAAGGTATATGAAAACTTGAACTGATATGTAAGGATAAAGACTGTTTCCCTGATAACTTATAATCTTTCACTGAAGAAAAATAGCTGCATCCCTTTGTTTTGTGAAACAAAGTTTTAAACGAAAATATTCTTTTGAATACAAAGCAGTTAATATAGTTGGGCTTTGTTAATCTAACTGGATTACTTCAAAACACAAGTTCAGAATAATAATGGATTTAACAATAGCTCAGAACACTTGTTACAGGAATCTTCATTTCCCACAAAAACTAGGACAGGAAAAAAAACCCTTAAGATTATCCCATTTTTGCCCGAGCACCTCCTTCAAAATCATAGCCTTAACTTATGCAAAAGCCAACTAAGTTATTTAAAGAAAAAAAAAAAATTAGACCTGGTAAGAGGCACAATTAAAGTTGTGTGCTAACTCATTCACTGTACAAGCTTGAAGGAATCATGAATGATACCACAGTGTTGTTTCTTTTCTTCACGCTTGCTAAACTACTGATGTTTAACTGACTCATTGACTATGATACGTAGTGTTGGTCCCAGCTGTGGATCAAAGATTTGTCATGTAGCTCCCGGTATTTTGCCTGCTGAGTCTGATCAATGACCTGGAATGTAGCATGGATGCAAGTGCCTGAAGCATGTGTTACACTGACATAGCAGCAGGGCACCATCAAAATCCTTCCTGATCCTGACGATTTTTAACACATGAGTAAGCAGCAGCAGAACAGTTTTGATACAACAATTATGATTTTCTCTTTTTAGCTCCTTTATCATTCTGACACAGGAAGTCAGCTGCCTTTAGGAGCAGTTTTTGCTAAATTGCTAATGTGCTTTTCATTTAAGAAACTGGAGAAGAACTGCCTGTCCCTTTACTGCCTTTAACTTTTTCTGTAAAACCTTAGCTTAAAGCACTTCAGTAAATCTTAAGAGAACTGAGCATATTAGTCTTTGAATGTGTATTAACATAAATAAACAAAATTATTCTTAAATCTTAAGAAACAGAAAGAATAATTTGCACTTCATCTCATGGGAAGTAGATTTTAAAAAATCATTATTCATATGATGTTTCAAAATTCTAGCCATTTGATTCACTACACATGTATCCTCCCCCAATTTCAAGTGAAATTTTCAAAAAGTCAAGGCATACAAACTCTGAAAGCTCAGTTCAAGTTGCACAGCATAACTCACATGTCCAGTGTCCCAGTTACATACAAATGACCACCAGAGAAAGCATCTGAAAGGGTCCGAGAGTAAACCAACTCTTCTTTGCATGCTTGTGAACCTACCCTGAAAAGGACTTTCCAAATTTGCTGGCAGGTGCTGCGCAGCCAACTGGTCAATTTAAAGTGAATGTGTGAGCAAAGGAAAAGGGGGATGCACTGGACACATCTTAATGCCTCTAGACAAAGCCATGTGAAATGACTGACTTAAAAGAATAAGGGCAAAAGACGAAAATTATATGGGTACCTTAGTTAAGCCAAGCCTCAGCATAGAAAATGAAGCGTAAATGCCCATTATCTTGAACGTGTGCACTGCAGAATTACTGCGTGCACCCAAAGTAAACAAGCTGAACAGCTGTTTTGGCCAGAACTCTTAATATTAATAGCAGATACACTGAATATCTGTTGGAAAAGCTAGTGAAACTGAATTAACTGACCTTACACTTATATAAGGTCTAATTATTTTTCATGCTACTTTGTAAGTTCACACTGCATTTAAAATTGATCTACGTACAGCAATACACATTCATTTCTAGTTGAACAACCATGCATTCTTAAATTCTTTAGTTCCATGAGAATAATTAGTAAACCCAGATGGAAAAGAAAGGTTAAGAGAAAGGTAGGGTGAGAAATAAGGGTGAGAAAGGGAGGCAGAATCTCTGATCTGCGCATTCAGAATGACTTGCTGACCAGTTCACAAAATATAAATAAAAGGAAAGATGTGTAAATTACAAAATATCCGCAAGCAATGCCAAAACAAGTTAGACTGACTTAAAAAGAAGGATGGAAGAGAAAACTAAACACTTTTGGAACACGGCTTGATCACTTTTCAGAGAGATTATATAAGGTATTAAAGTTCCATTCCCTTTTAACAGGCAATGACCCAAGAAACTCCTTGCAGACTCTTGTTCCTGTTCATCAGCATCTGCGTTCAGTCATGGTGCACAAACAGCTTCAGTATTTCCTAAGCTGAAGTGGCAATGTCTTTGAAATTAGTATTTCATTACACTTAAAATTAACACCATTCTCAAATGTCAGTTCTTTTCCCACTAGATTTTTTTTTTTTGGTTGTCCTATATTAAGTGGAAATGAGAAGTCTACTAATAGGGAGATCTGTATTAAAAGCTCCAATGATATGCCATTTGTGTTTAAGGAGGCCTCCAAATGTAGCCTGTATAGCTGTAGGCATAAACATGTATCAAAGCCTGAGAAATCATTAAACTTCATCATAAACGTGGAGCTTGAAATCTTTTTCAGCATCAACTAGTTCAAAATAATTTCAAAAATACTGCTCTGTTGGGCAAAGTCCACAGAGCCCAACTACATTCTGCTGGACCAGAATTTACTATTTTTAAGATTTTTGAAGACTTGGCAGCTGTTCCCTTCTTGCACAAGGAGACTTCTTGCTTTTTCACCACCATTCTTCCACCCTGAACAAGGGACATGTGTGTCTGATTGAAGACTCCTTCTTAATACTCAAGATGACAAAGAAAGATTTTGTGACCTCATGTCACTTACTGAAGAGAAGATTGAAATGCAGCACCTAAGACAGGTGCTACTCCAAAAGCTCACAATAAAGGTGACAAGGTTCTGACAAGACTGCATTCAAAAATGGTTAAGAAAGTCTGTCTGCTTCCCATGCTACCTTGATGCAATTGAGGGGGAAAAAGGTAGAGAAATTCCAGAAGAGAGAAAATGAAAGTAGTATTCTCTGTCAACTTTTACTCGTCTCTCCCTTCCTCCTATTCTGCAAGAGCTGCAATTATTTCCTTATTTTATTATTTATTTCCTAATACACTGTGTATTAGATTGTGTGTGAAGTCTTTCTCACACAATGAAAAGTAATTAAAAAACTGAGTATGCCATGTGACTTACATAGGAATGAAATGTGGAGAAGTATTTATCATATTTAAAGGTGTCATATTTGAAGATTATAGCCCATTATTATATAATGCTATATTATTTATAGCCCAAATTAGTAGTAGTTTTGCCTCATCCTCACTTAATCTCCTTCACTAAAATTTGTGATCGGAGTTGCAAAAGGCTACACAACTACCTGGAAAAAAAAAAATCTAACACATACATACATTTACAATCCTGTATCAAGGTAAGTTTTGCCAAGAATTCTACTGTGCAAAGCTAAAGGTAAGACTCAAGATTTAAAAATAAGGTTCAGTATACTTACCTGTGAAAAGGAAGAAGATCAAAACCATAATCATGGTATAACCAAAATATAAAATGGTGCTAGCTGTTCCTGTGATTTGCAGTTTAGAAAAAAAATAATGTATTGCATATATTAGGAAATAAACTGCAGTGAAACCACTAGTGAGAAATGAACGCCACTGCCAGTGATAGTCCTAGAAGGGATGGAGGACAAAGAAGGTATGTAAGTAATATTGAGTAATATTCCCTACAGCTCTAAAACACTGACCCAATTACTAAATGCAGAGCTACTTTATCATCACTTTATCCAAAAGTATGTTTTTATAGCTTTTATCTACAGCAAAAAGAACTGTATCTAATCAATACTGTTTTAATTACAGCACTCACAAATGGAGAAAAGAAATCTAAATATCAATATCAAACAGTCAAAAACATAAAAACCCAAATAAGCCAAACCCTACTATTGCCAGTCAGAGATACTCTCCCAACCACCCCCAAGCTCAGGCAAGTCCAAAATGCACTTTGATTAAACGAAGTTAACGGATTAATTTAGTGTCTTCAGAAAACAGGGAGTTAAAATCTAAAGATGAGACACCTGAATTAGCAATATTCAGTGCACTGTTTTAATATTTCTTGCAAGTTCTGCCCAAGTAGCCTGCTTCACTTCTTAAATACACAGTTTTAGTGCATTTCATCTGGTAACAGTGTTTATGATGAATTCTGGAATACTTTTATTCAACTATAAAAGCCTTAAAACTGGAAGCCGTCTTAAAACAGCATCAAGTATGAATACCAAAGAATATTCTTACCTCTGCACATAGATGGAAGTAGCAGAGCAATATTGTAGCCTCAGAACATGTAATTACCAAAATAATGAATACCAGAAACAGGAAGCCAAACATGTAATACATCTGGTGAGACCTATACAATGGAGTTAAAAAAATTAAATAAATAACTGAAGTGGACACTGTGCTAATATTCATATGCAGTAATTCACCTTTACCTTCGGTATTCCCCTTCCTATTGAGGTAATCTCAGTTGTGCAGCCATACAATTGACTAATTTTCTACCTGAAGAATAGCAGCCTCAGCCTGTACACAATGAGAAAGCAAGCCCAAACCATGCTCCTGGTTGGGATTTTGGGGAAAGAACTGCTCAGACATAATGAGTGAAATTACAGTTCCAGTGAAATCAGTGTGACCTCTTCCACTGGCTTCAGGAGAACTTGGATTTCACCTCACATTTCAATCAAAGGAGCAGAGTTGCAAAGTAACAAGAAATGACAAATGCTGTAGCTGTCTACATTGGGTAGAGGCACCTATTCAAGGTTCAGAAACAGTTTAACAAGATCCAATAACTAAATTGTGCCAGAAGGAAGACAAATCCCTCACAGTAGATTAGTTTGTCAGTGTGCTATGAGATCACGTAAGAATTCACTTATACTGGACTAGTATTTGGTGTTTTATTTTTGAGAAGAATTACTCACTGATGCCTTTATAAAGATTACACAAAATTTGTTCTTGATTCTTCTTTTCTCCCTAGGTAGTAATACTTCTCTAGTTCAACAACAACTGAATAAACCAACCCCAAAGTCAATGTTAATATACTTACTACGTTCAAGTTACATGCCATATGTCAGCTTCAGAGCCACTTCCACATGAAATCAGAGGAGTAGCGTGAGAAAACTAGCTATTGGAATATTGTAGGTCAGCTGTAAATTGCTAAGCATATCACAGCCACTTCTCTACACACCTCAACAAGCAAAACAAGCACTGAGTATTTTCTAAAGCACAAAGTGTTAAAAATATTTCCATTTTCACAGAAACAGCATTCTGGTAACCCTATTTCAACAAAATCAGTTAAAGCACCTTGAAGAAAAAAACTTCACAAAGAAATTACCAGATTTTATGATACCGAAAATTCAAATACACTGTGGTTAACTTACCAAATACTATTGAGAATAAAGAACAACTGTATAAAGATACAGCCAAAAGGTAGAATCCCTCCCATGATAATGCCAGGTAACGGCTTCGTATAGAAGGATTGCTCAGGAATCTGACGAGGAATTTGATTTGTGCGAACAGGGTGTTCGATAGCCTTTAAATAAAAACAAGAAATTACTAAATAAATTACTTTATTTCTTTTTGAAATGAGTGGTGGCAAAAGTCTACTATTTGCTTTGAGCATGTTCATACTCAGCTACCACTACATCTGTTTTAGCTACCAGCCTAGCTACCAACATTTGCTAGGCAAACAACTAAAAGACAATTCTTATTGAAAACATAGCAAGAGACTATTTTGGACTTCCACTTTTATGACTACCTATCTATGACCTGCCACAGAGCCTGAGCTGACTTCTCACTTTTCAGCTGGGGAGTAGTGGTGATGCAGACTCTTGCTTTCTAGGTGGTACTGGAATTTCAACATGGTTAACAGAAAAAACCCCTGAATTTTGGTTAATCAGCTTTAAAAGTGCCTTCTAAGATATTTACATATTCTCTGTAGGTATTTCAGGTATTCCATGAGAGCTCCAGAGAGCTCTTTTATACAGGAAAAAAAAAAAGAAGTATCTGAACTTACAGATCTTTTCTGGGGCACAGTAAACCAACTACTTTTTAAGCAAAAAGTACAGATTTCATTATTTAAGAAGGTTTGGCCACTGGTGTCATAAAAAGCCCTCACAGAAATAAGCAAAACTCATCAGTTTAGGAATAAATCTCCATTAATGTCTGGCAAGTGGTGATGACCATTTACAGAACACTTATGCAAAGTGGTTTCACAAGAATTCTAGCAACTGGTCCAAAAATATCCCAGTGTAGATGATGGACAGAAGCAAAAAACATGGAGGAAAACCAGAAATGCGTAAGTTTGTTTCCCATTATGCTTGACTGGACCAACTCTTTCTAGCAATGAAAGAGATTCTAATTAAAAAAAAAGTCCAAATCACTGCTTTATCTGGAGCATTCACTCAATTAAATACAGTCATAACCCTAACCATTGTGGAGAAGTATCACCACCAACAACCAACTGACTATCAAAGTCTTGGAATCCCAAGATCAGATCTTTAATGCAGCTCTAAATAACTGAACAGAACTGAAACTGATAATGCAACTACTTCAGGTACTATCTCAGTCATAGTCTATATACAGTCTACAGATAGTCTATACAGTCTACATATGTGTTTACACCTGGGCATACACACACTTAAAAAAACCCAATTTCTCAGAAACACTTACGTTTTTCTTAAAACCAAAATAGGCACCAATAAACGTCAGTGGTACAGATACACAAAACCAGAGTGCCAAAATAGCAACCAGAGTACCAAATGGAATAGCTGCTGAAGAGCCTTCTCCCCAGAGGATGAGGTTCATGATAAAAAAATCTGCAAATACAATTCTGAAAAATACATAATACACTTAAAAGCACAGAAATACTCCTTAATATTCAACAATGTTAACAAAACAATAGCACTGTATGAAGATTTTAGTGTAAATCTCTGTTAAAACCTAATAATACACATTAAGTATCAAAACGAAGAGGTCAAACAAGCAATTCTTTGTTAATCTAGTGGGACTGAACTCCAGCAGGAGCTGACATTCTAACTAAATAATTTCATATATATGCTTGTCTTAACTACACTTCAGGGTAAGACTGCTTGCTGTGATTAAGTAGAAAAAAATATCACAGCAGTTATACAGTATATGACACTATATAAGACCAACTACAGAGTGGTCAGAGAAACAGCCAAGAAAGTAAAAAAACAACTATGAAAAAGTGTGCCTGTCTAAAACTTACTACTATCATGATGCTCTTTTTTAATCAATCTTTTCATGTGGTGAGACTAAACAAATGCTTACTAAAACAAATACCTAAGGATGATATGCCATTAACATTCATCCTTGTCAAAAGCACCATGATATTCCTGCAGCTTCTGTAATAAAGGGACACTCTAGTTAGATTTACTTATATAGCTGAAACTTAAAAATTAGCTACGCATGTCAGAGAAGCAATTTAGTTCTTTTAATCATGGCAATATCTCAACTTACCCAGGACAAAGGAATGATGTCAGCAGCACATTTGCTTTCCATTTCTCACCTCCAAATGCTGTATTAAGACATTTGACAGTCATCAAATCATGCATTAAGCTCACAACTACTAATTTTCCAGTCCATTTGCCTGTTATACTTAGCTTGCAAATTCTCAAATAATGCACTTCATACCCAAGTTTAAAACAGTAAATATTCAGTAATAAAACTGAATTTCCTCATCATAGTGCTTAATCAGAGTTTAAAAGCAGCAAAAAGCCTCAGACCAGGCTCAGGAAAAGCATGCAACTAAACTGGGTCTCTGACCACTTTATCTGCTAAAAGGAGGAAGTATATTTGAAACATTTTTAAATCTTCAAGGTTGAGAAGTTTAAGCTTTCTAGCATTTGACTGCAGTTTTCAGTAGGAAAGAAATACATAAATATGTGAAAAGCAAGCTTAATAGCTTTCTTGAAATAATTCTTGTCTATCAATCTTACAAGAAAGTCAGAGGACTAACATGCTTACAGGAAGCAGTGATGTTCTCAAGTCCTAACAGCATTAAGCAGTGGTGATACCAAAAGACCAAAGATAGCTTTATTAAGAAAATCTTTATGAATTTGCACTACACTGATAAAAATTCGTCAGCATACTTTCAAATTAAAATATCCTGCTGGAACACAGGGAAGCTGACAATTTCATCTGAACACTGCCATAATGACAAGCTTCTTTACTTGAAGAGTCAGGAGTGATTATGGCTAGAGTGATTTTAATTAAGTTTGTCTTTCTTCATGAAATCTTGGTAGAACATGGCACCAGTTATTAAGATTAACCATTTAATTTCAACTCAGGTTGTACTTCTAAAACGTAGAATTTTAAAAAAACCAACACTTACAAATGGATATTCATTTCAGCTGCACTTTGGTTCAGGTCTCACATTATTTATATATACTTTCATGTTTACATGATGTATACAGGGTATGGACCACCTTGTGTTGTAACAAGAATATCTATGGATCAGTCACTCACTGTCTTAGTAAACACAATATTCCAGTATCAGCTAAATTCTTCCCAATAAGTATAATATGAAGCAATTGTTATTGCCTTGATCTGCACCAAATATAGAGGATTTACTATTGATATGCTTCAAAATAGCCTTCAAAACACATAATACACAGTATGACATGCAGAATAATTTGTCCTCAATTATGCTTTTAGTCCCAAGGTTGCCTTCCATTTAAGTCTAATTGGCTTGAAGATTAGGAAAAGGAGTAGTCCACCATCACATCTTTATCACTGTGGAAAAACTCCCTACAAATACAAACCCTCTTCCCTCAGTTGTTCTCCCCACATGAAAATTACAATATGGTTAGAAGAAAGAACTCCAGTGCCTACTGCCAGGCTGAAGTTGAGAAATAAACTTCTTTCTTTAGCCCTGTATGTTCAGAACTAACATAGTCCAAAAGATGCAGCTTACTCAGTCATAAAGTGTCTTTTACCTTGAGTAAGGTAGTTAAATCAAGCTGCATGCAGAATGGTGTGTTTTGCCTTCAAATAACCCAGAGGGTACACTGGCAAACCATTTGAGATTGGCAGGCATAACTTGAAGCAATAGCTAGCTGGGATCAGTCAAGGAAAACCGTATCAACCAACTACTGTCAGGAATCCAACCGCCACTGGGGTGATTCCTACAACTACAGAACACTTAATAATCCTTCCCCCTGCACCCCTGCCACAATATGATAAGCACCGTTCTCCCAAAGATCTGGGAACTAGCTAAGAAGAGGTGACAAATCTCAGGCATGCAAGAACAGAGGTTTGTGATTGAGGGGAAAAAAAAGAAATTAATGTTAGCAAGCAACATCAATAGCTAAAACTAAATGTAAGTTAACACTGCCCCCTGCAACTGTAGGAAACAGAAGTACAAAACTGTCTAACATAATGAGCTTAGTACTAGTAAATTGGAATTTATTTCTGAATTCCAGAGATGTGTAGTAGCAAGAACAATTCAGGGACTTTAGGAATGAGCACATCAAAACCAATGTAATCATGTCAGTATTCTATACGTGTTTTCTGTTGTTAAGGTAAGTACATTTCTCCATCTTACCCTGAGGGAAACTACAAACAGGACTGCACAAAAAAACCCAACATCATTTCTGTGATGGTAATTTACTTTAACGAACTTAAGCCTTGTCATTTTAAATAACTTATACTTACATTTGTAGAATCTGGCAGCAACATAACCGGCTGGAGTTCCAAGCAGTACCCACAGAACTACAGCACAGGTCATTAGAGCTCCCCTGTTAGCAGGTGACAAGAATCCCAGACAAGCAAAAACTATGAAAAAGAGATGCACAATTTCAGAAAGTAACTATACAGTTGACTTAAAGTCAGTATATCAGTTATCTTAAAATCTGTGTATACTAAGTTGAACTACTATATCAGCTCAGCTGTTTCTAACCTTAAGACTTCTGAGAAATTTCTAGACAAAACCTGTTATTTTTATTAGCACCATATAATTAGCAGTGAAAAATTATCTGTACTTAACTAACTCCTCTCAGCTTTATTACTTACACAGGGTAACGAAAGTCATTATTAAGATCTGTGTGCCAGAGCCTAGAAAAATGGACAACAGCATTCCTTTTCTTGGGGGCCTGAAAATATCACCATGAACCAGTTTCCAGCCAAATTCTTCTTGAGCATCCTCCTGTAAAGAAAATACATATATTTTAATGCAGTACCTTGCCACTTAAAGAGTCTGTTACAGAAATACATTAGGCTGAAAAAATTACATTCCAAAGAAATTTCAGGAGGTACATTTTAGACTTACAGTGGAATCCATCTGATTGTATCTTGCAATGTCTTTATGCAGTGTTCTCAACATAATCATAGCTACCATTCCAGACAGAAAGAGGACAATCACCAAGGAATTCATAATACTAGATGTAAAAATAAAACAAATAAATAAATCAGTCATCATTCAAATTGCAATGTAAACACTTACAGCACACTTTAAGGCAAACTTTCTTCTCACCTAAACCACTGAATATGAGTGTGAGGCATGGATTCCAAAATATAATCCCATCTTGATGCCCACCTTATTTCCTTTTTTTCCTGAAAGAAAACAGCAGTTTCAGATACAGTCAGTATCCAACCTCTATATTTACAAGTTGATATTCATACAAAGCAATCTTAAATCTCATGACAAACTGGAAAACCCAGTTGTATGCCTTAAAAGGAGCAGTGTAATAATAGATACCTAAAGCAAACATAAGATCTGAGCATAAAATCTAAACTATTTTCTAAATAGTACCAGGTACCCAAGCCTTCTGAAGACAGAAAGGCCTAGCAAATTAATTTGTGCTTCTTCCCTTCAATAATGATATTAATCTGGAATTCAAATTACTAGCAGAATATAAGATAACATGGATATTTCAGCATATGTAAGTCAACACCACAAACTAAGCTCTGCTGTACAGTCTTCAGCATAATATTCCACTTTCTAGATAGTGCTTCATGCAAATTATCCTTTGCTTTCATACAACCTAATTTCAGTAACAAATACCAATTCAGTCACATTCAGTTTATACTGCAAGACAGATAAGGACACAATACTACAGAACTTACACTGTTAGCAGAGGGAAACAAATTATTCCTTCAGGCATTTCAATGGATTATACTTACACAGACTGAATATTCACTCATCAGAAACACTTCAAAACAGCATTTGTTTTATTTTGCAGAGTAAACTTATAAAAAGGAATAAACAGTGCTCATCAACCTGAAGATAGCTATTAAACAAACCCTAAAAACTAGTATAATCTAATAAATATGGCTAGGTGTCTTTCTGACATGATGGTATTGCAGTAGTTTATTACATAGAAGAGCAAGAGTGCTTTCCAGTAGTCAGTTTTGAAAATACAAGAAACAGTGGGTTATAAAATATAGCCAATGTAAAATATCTAGTTCACTCAGGTAATAAAGCTAGGTTTTAAACAAGCAACAAGTTTCTAAACCACTATCAATGATCCTAGAACTGCATTTTCCCCCCATACCTACACTGCCTTTTTTCTGTCTTTCTGACATGACTTGATCTCTCCATGGAATTTCAGAAGACTACCTCCAATTGATGTAATATTGTAACCAGAACAGTAAAACACACACAGCTGGGCGTTTCATTTTTTAAAGAGAAACAGTATAATTGCATGAAGCTAAGGTCATTCTTAACTTCACACCGGTCTCCAGAAGTACTTGCTTTTCAGTGTACAAATTAATTCCAGGATGATAACTGGTATAATTTCTCAAAATACAATTATTGAGACACATAACCCCTTCTGAATACTTTTCTTATACTATTTATTCTATTTTGAACTTTCCCATGTAATCCAGTACATTGCTACAGTAAAGAATTACCACGGTAATTCTACAAACACTGCTATAACAGTTTATAAGAGATAAAAGGGGTTCATGCCTGAGAAACTGTGACAATGTAATGATATTGTGAGACTAGTGCTCTACTGAATGCTTCTTATGACAGTGGCACCTTAACTCAACACTGCTCTCCAACTAAATTTAAAGTCTCCATTTCACCACAGTTGAACTGAACCCTACAGCAGGATCCTACCACTTACACTGCAATCAGAACAAGCTTAAGAAATAATTGCCTTATTGCTATTTTTAACCTATTAATTACCAGTATTTCCATTAACAACTGTAACTTAAAAAAAAGACTCCTTCATATCCAGAAGAATCCCAGAAATACTGAAGTTGAAATGCATGTGTGCTATCCCTTCATTCCACACACAAGGAGTCAAGAAATCCAGTCGGTTATAATCTGCATTCTTTTTAGCGAGTCACTTGCATTTTGAGACTGTAGACTAACAGGGAAACTATTCAGCAAATTCCATTTAAAAAAAAACAACAACAACTCTTTCTTGCTTGTCACCAGAGTGAAACATGTTAAAATATCACTGCTCCCTGCAGTTGCTTGATACACTGTGTCTCTGCTTTTAAACAGAAAACAGAGACATAGAGCACACCATCTTCCTGTTCTTTTGCAGATTTCCATAGGAGGAAAATCTTGGAGAGAAGAAAGCCTTTGCAGCAGGAGAGCAGAAAATTATCAGTTTCAACTTACCCACAAGAGTAAATTTCTGAAACACACTATTCCTCAGATTTAAGACCTTGGATTTAAAAATAAACTACTGGACAACCAAGGTAAACATAGAAAGTGTGATTTTTAAAAAACACATAAATGCATTTGACATGCAAGGTGTGGGGTGGCATTCAAAATTGTAAAGTGTACAGTGAAATCTCAAACCATCTCTGACCTTCCAGTCCAAACAAAGTTTTAAAACCCCAAATTTAGCATTCTGAGGTAGCAGTACTTGCTCATCTTTATAATTCAGAGTATTAATACATGATTTTAAGAGGCAACTAGCACAGAAAACTTAGTACTCACTTCAAAAGAAACTGAGTATGTGTAAGCAATTTTGATTTCTCCATTAGCCTTGTTACTTATATCCATAGGTACTCCTGAGCAATCGGGGTTGTCTGGATGAGTATGCTTGTAACTGCAGAAAGAAAAAACACAGAATAAAAGCTGCTTCACTGACCACACTCTTAAAGAAAGAATTCATTCATCTTACAAAAGCATCCGTTTCATCCAGGGTTCTTCCCTTAAATATAAAAATTGTTCTTAATGCCTCATAAATTTCAGAATTCATAAGGAATGTATCATGAACACAGGACTTTTTCATACTTGAACTTTTTAAACAAAAGGTATTGCTTTGAAGGAGAAAACTATAGAGAGCAGAGTCTGTAAAGCAGAGAACTCTGTAAAGAACTCTAGGTCCCACCATGAATTTCCAAAGCACTCAAAAAGTTACAACAGAATTACTAACTTCTCTCAGAAAAAAGTATTTTCATCATGATGCTGGACCAATAATGCAACAAGCTCAGTTACAGCAAGAATATGAAATTTAAAAAAGATGCTAAGAAAGAATAAAACAGACATTGCTTGTGTGAAAGCCACATGGATACTAGAACAACTGACAAGCGTATCTACAAAATCATTCCTGTCAAATCCTGATTCCTGAAGACATCAAATGTTGCACTCCAACTACTCCTGCATCAGGCACTGGTGGCCTATTCTGTCACAAGGCAAAGTGCTCCCCAGAAGGGGAATGAGAGTTGCTTCACTGAACACAAATCACTGCCAAGTTTTATTTTATCTTTTTTTATCTCTTTTTTATCGGCCCAAATAAGAAACAGTACACAAAGCTCTATCAAATTCAGAGCAAAATTATGTGAGACTCTCCTCTACTATACTATCTCAGGTCAAATCTACAGGTCACATCTGAAAACACTTCTGACCAGCAACAGGTCCACAAATCAAAGCAAGTATCTTGGGATGGACCACTGCTTGATGACAAGTTACTGTTGAGTACTAACCTTTTTGGTTCAAGTTTAGCAGCAACTAGTCTTGCTCCCAGAGCTTCATTTTCCACGACATGGTAATATATTGTTATGTCAACATGGTTGAAGATATAAAAAGTATCTTTTTCATGAAATTCTGACTGCAATGATAAAAGATGATGTTAATCAAAAAGATAACATCTGAAAGCCTCAATCAGAAGCTTACATAACAGAATTTTAGACTGTGTACAATTTTTCTGTCAAGAAGTTCTACAAGATGAATGTGGGTTTCTCAGAACAAAAAGACAGTAAGGGCTTTGCATTAAAACCTTGCATTAAAAAGCCAATCTAGAAGAGTTAATGTTAAGAACTGTCTTCATACAGTTGAAAAGTAGAAAAAAATTAAAATATAAAATGTATTTATAAATCTAAATATATCTATTAAAACATTTAAGTAACTGTAGATGTTCCATTTTCTTTAGTTGAAGTAGCAAACTGACTAGATAACTATATGACAATTTTCATATCAAAAGTGTTTCAGAAACAACAGCTATTTTAAAACAATGTGTATATTTTTCATAGATTAAACAGAACCTTCCAAGACAAGCAACAAATAATTGCTCTCTGACAGAACCACGTTGACATTTAAATCCAAAGATGAACAGGGATGAACTGCAAGCAGAAGCCAAGAATGCTGAATGTAAAATCTTAGGTGAAGGCAAACATCAGCTTGGAATTTAGTCAGTTAGAGGGGGTTAAATAACAAGTATCATGCCTACTGCAGTTCAACTAGTACTTGTTCAGGGTTCTACACCCACACCTTTCTACAAAGCACCCTGACTATACGAAAAGTTGTATAAACAAAGCATTCTTCTACAGTCCTGCAGCTACTCCTTCAAAGGTTATTTTCATTTTATTAAAACAAGCACTTAAACAAGATTAAAAGAATATTGCCAGAATACATATATGATCATAAATACATCCATGCATATGGAACCTCTGAAACCAATTCATTATGGGGGCAAGGAAACAAAATTAGAAATTGCTGAAACTGCCATCTTTGGTAAGATCCATTAAGTAAACTCAGCCATTTTGGTAAACTCAAAGTCCTATTCCAGGTTCTCAGTGACATCTCCATGGAAAGAGATCTGTGGAAATCCAAAGACACCTGGACTTTCTGTTGCCTTCTTATCTCTATAATGTTTTACATTTATCTGGACCCCCACCAGTTAGTCTAATTAATCGATCTCTCACAGGAGAAGCTTTGTTCACTCAGAAATCTTACACTCTGCCTTCTTCCATTAGCACACACAATTTTAGGGAAAGCAATTGCTGAAGAAGTATTAATTTCCATGCAGAGGTACAAGCATGTCTATGCAAACCCGCTTCCATGAAAACACTGCTATCCCACAAAAATGTGAAGTTCAAGCCTTCAAATGTTTAGACTTCTTAGGCAATGAAGGATGACAGTGTTTTCTTCTCCTTCATCCTGCAGATGTACTAAATACTATACATGTTCATCTCTTCTACCTCTTAGAGCCCTTCAGTTGTGCAACAGAAGAGACAAAGTTCTTGGTCTTAGATGAGGCTTACAAATTGTGGTACTCTCAGAGGTATCAAACCACTTATCCATTGTTAGGCAACAAGGTTTCTTAAAATAGTGAGGACTCGCCATAGAAACATGACATAGGAGAAATGCCAGTCTTTAAATTACTAAGAGGATATTAAAAAATAATTGCATAAACATACATTAATAACACAGGCATCTTTTGGACGGCCATCTTCTGTAATGTAACAGCCAATAGGAAAACCAGGATTGCAGAACTTGTGGCCATCTTCAACATCATAACACCAAGTCACAGGCATGTTGTCCACAATCCTGTAAATGGCGCAGTGACATTTCACAATCTTCAGAAATACACAATGGCACGGAAACAAAACCAGATTAACATTATCTAACTTTGCTACCTTTGCTACAATACGTACTGGAAGATTAATGACAAGAATACTACTACTTTCAGTGGAATTGCATGGAAATGCACTGATTGCAAATTCAATTTCCACAAGAGATATTAGCATGTAGCTCTTCAACCGGAACTTGTCTTTTAAAAAAAATAATAATTTTAAAAGTCTATGTATTTCTTCAGAAGGTGGCTTGTAAAAGTCCCCTTACAAATACAACCAAATTACACAAAACTCTCCTCCTCCACAGTCATAACAATTTCATTATTTTGTCTTTAGAAATGGCCAAAATCATCCACTAAACCAGCTAAAATGAACTTGACAATTTAAAGTTTAAGGCACAACAAAAAAGAAACAAATTTC